GTATTCCAAATTTGGAGACTGTATCTTCAACCAATCAATAGATATGTGCATATAAAATCTAAATTTTTGGGAGGTACCTCCGATTCTGATGCTATATCTCCAGTTCCAAGTGGAAATTCAAAAATGTATATAGCCTATGTTACTTTCAGGCGATGTTGCAATATATATGGAAATTTTCAGGAAAATCTATTCAGCGGTTTTCGAGTCCATAAATTACAAACAAACAAACATACAAACATTTCCCTCTTTTATAGATATAGAAGAAGAAGAAGAAGATATGTGTGAAAAAGTGTATCTATTCTTTCACAACTTCTCTTAAATCATCTTAATTTAGAGTGAGCTATTTTTGAATATGTTTTAATACAACTTCGATTATCTCGCAGTAAATGGATGGGAATTTGTCAATTCTTCCGAATCTTCGTCTATAGATAAATCCAGTGGTTCTCTGCCTTCGCCAGGTGTAAAGACATTAAAAGTTGTTGCAATACTTTCTATGGGTTCGCTAACAAATTATTCTTTATTCTGGATTGACAATATCTCCTGCGTTTCCGTAAATATTACGAAACATGGAATACCTTTGCTGGGCGAATGTTTCAGCACATATAATCTCTACTCTTCGCAAGGCTGAAAGAGTGGGAAGTTCTAACTTACGGACCATAGCCATAGTTCTTCTCATTTTCCCGGGAAGAGGGGATTTAAATTCTTTCAAAATCCTTCGTTGTGTTAAGAAGGATAGGAACAATGTTTTTGTTTAAAACATTACGAGCCGAATAAGAATTGACAGTTTTTTTTAGGAAACAAAGAAGTGCGCTTTTCATCCAAAGAATTTTGGATGTTTAAAAGCGATTATATATTTTTGCACTTGTTCTTACTTTGTCCATAGTGAAATCCAACGGTGTTCTGCCTTCGCCTGGTGCACTGGATATAGAAATGACACTTTCACTGTCTCAGAAATAGATATGGCCATATTTACTACTGATCTTCATAAGGCAGAATGCCAGTCAGTGGCAGCAATGATTCTCATAAAAGGTATCCTGGGTCTCATAAGACGTTCTTCTTCCAAACCAATGAGATTCTGCAATTTATCAGGGATGTCAGGAAATTCTATACTATTAAGCATATTGTTGGAACTTTTCATTGTAAGACACAATTATAACACGTGGGATGTAAAACTTATAACTGTTCGACAATGATGGAAATCTCTCAGAAAAAAGCATTCCAGGATGGTTATATATCCTTAAAGTGTCGGTCTCATTTTTAAAAATTGTGCTTTTGACAAACGTAAATTTCTGTGGGTCTGCTCCTAACTGTCATTATTCTATATGTACTAGCTCCTCATCTTCCGCATGTTAAATTTACTCAGGATCCCATCCAATTTAAATTTATATAATAAAAATATATATATATCGTTTAAACAGTCTGGTCTTTGCAAGCAAAAACCAATGTGATTTTTTATACCATACACAACAAGGTGGTCAGGGTATTATGCTTTGTTCATTTGTTTGTAACAGGCAAAAGGAAACGAGATAGACTCATAGTTCCTTTTGATAATCTGCATAGAATCACATTCTGAGTCGATTTGTGCATGTCTGTCCGTTTGTCCATGTATTTTTGTAAACAAAGTACAGGTCGCATTTATTGCCCGATCCATATGACATTTTGTCCTTGGCCCAAGGACAAAATTTAGATATAGCTCCCATATATATCTTCGTCCGATTTGCCTTTCATTGTGCACCAAACGTGCAATATAAGCCCGAAAAGTATGGAATTTTGCACATACAACCAAATTAGGCCTTAAAATAAGTATGACAAATTTGATCGAAATCGGTTCAGATATAGCTATAGCTCACATATATATTGTTCATCCGATTTGTTATTTTTGTCCTCCGCTGCCGTAATATGCCCTCTGTAACAACAATATTTGGGGAAATATTTCAAATACAGCTTAGAAATATATTTGCTAAATTTTATCGAGATTGGTTCAGATTTGGATATAGCTCCCATATATAACTTCGTCCGATTTTCCTTTTATTGTGCACCAAACGTCTAATATTTGTCCAAATGGAATGGAATTTGGCACTTACGACCGAATTGAGTATAGAAACTGGTATGTCAAATTTGGATCGGTTCAGATATAGCTATAGCTCCCATATATACTGTTAATCCCATTTGTTATATTTGTTACCCAGAGCCGTAATATGCACTCCGTAGCAACGATATTCAGGGAAATATATCAAATACTGCTCAGAAATATCTTTGCCAAATTTTATCGAGATCGGTTCCGATTTGGATATAGCTCCCATATATCCATCTTTATCCGATTTCAAATTAATTGTGCGCCAAATGGGCAATACAAGTCCGAATGTGAAAGATACAAATGCTTCGACATATTTAGTCCTTTGAACTTTAAGTTGTAATTATAATCGTAGCGTGTATGTTTGAATTCTCCCATAAAAAACTTTTAATTGTTATGTGGAAATGCACTAAATTAGCAAAGTGGTGTAGGGTATCATAAAGTCGGCCCCGCCCGACTTTAAGACTTTATTTACTGGTTTTGGTTTGCTTAAGTGAAGTGAATTGGCAAAGCCATTACAGGGGATTTTGTAACGGTTTAAAAAAAATCAAAAGTAAGTTATAAAAAAATCTCTTCGACTTTCCTTTACAGTTCATCGTGTCAGAGTCAACAAAATTTAGCATTGGGGCATTGGGGGTTAAAGCTTGTTAAAACGATCAATTTTTTCCCCTTTTAGGCATGTTCTACCATGTGTAATTTCTTATACGCAAAATATCGTTGTAAACTGCGATAAGTTCGGGAGCATGACTTGCATGTGTGATGCTCCCCTGTGTTGTCATTTTAAACATCAATAATATTTTTCAACAGCGTAAGAAGCACAGCTAGCTCCGCCTCTTTTAAATAATTTGAATAAGTCTTTACAGATTTTTTTCTATCAAATCTTCCTAATTTAGAGCGATTAATATTTAATATGTTTATTTCCAATTTATATTTTTTTCCGCAGTAAATGGGTGGGAATGATAATTTTTCTTCGTCTATAGCAAGACCCAGTGGTCCTATGCCTTTGCCCGGTGCAAGGACAATAAAAGGCTATCGTTATCTAAAAAGGCTCAATATTGACACTAGCTTCTATGTTTTCAGCTATCTAAAAATGTTTTTATACCCTCCACCATAGTATGGAGGGTATATTAAGTTTGTCATTCCGTTTGTAACACCTCGAAATATACATTTTAGACCTCACAAAGTATATATAGTTTTGATCAGCATAAAATTCTATGTCGATTTATCAATGACCGTCCTTCTGTCCGTCTGTGGAAATCACTCTAGCTTCCGAACGATATTCGGTATTTTGATTATTTTAGCGACATTATTTACCGGAATTGTTTAAAATTTGGTATTTAAAGTTCGTAATGGATACTACAGCCTCTGACAGAAAATTACCCATGTAGGTCCACGTCTTCGTATAGCCCCCATATAACGGTACCCTCTGATATTCGGTAATTGGATGACATTGGATGATGATTTTAGCGACATTATTTACCGGAATTTTTTAAAATTTGGTATTTAAAGTTCGTAATGTATACTACAGCATATGATAGGAGATTGTCTATGCAGGTCCACGTCTTCGTATAGCCCCCATATAATGGTACGCTTTGATATTCAGTATTTTGAAGACAACAACAGCATTATTTACCGGAATTGTTTCAAATTTGGTATTTGAAGTTCGTAATAGATACTACAGCCTATTGTCTTTGCAGGTCAGCGTATGGTACCTTCCTATATTCAGTATTTTATTTATTTTAGCTACATTATAAACATATTTTTTTCAAGTTAAGCATTTGAATATTATAATATATTATGACAAAAATTGCCTATGCAGGTCCATGTCGTTGTATATACCCTAATATACGGCTACATTCGGTATTTTTAAGATTTTAACAGAACTTTTAATGCATTTGATTTTTTTGAAAATTGTCAAATTTGTACCAAATGGTGGAACTTACAACTTTTTTACTTGTTTTTGTTATTAATGAGTTGCTGATTATTTGAGGATATTTTAAAATTTGAAACTTCTGTATTGTAAAAAATTTTCCCCAATTCGAATTATGATATGTTGTTATGTTGTTTTTGCGATCTTGTAATACCTTTGCTGGGCACATAGTTTCAGTAATGTTATTTTGAGCATGTTCAAGACAAGGTAGTAGATGCAACATGAGTACAATCTAAAGTTCTAGGCAAATTATGAACAGTATACCTAATGGATATAAGTGCATTTACTACCACTCCTCGTAAGTCATAGTAAAGTGACGAAGAATGATCAATTAAAAAATGTTAAGGGTGTTCTAGGGCTCACAAGACGTTCTTCCAATCCAGCAAGTTTCTGCAGTTCATCAGGGATGTCAGACAATTTTAAACTATGACATAAGCACGTTTATGATATTGTTCGTGATATTATCTACGTAATTTTCCACATTTATATTTTGGGAAATACAAAATTATTGTGATATATGTGCGTATCACATTTCTCGGGTAGGGTCAGCATCAACAACTCCCTTGTTCTAATAAGTATAATGCGTTGTTTCAGGTCTGAAGGCTTTAGAAATTGTTCATTAATTCATTAATAATAAAAGTTTCATTTTTTGCAGTCTTTTCCATTGCTTACAGTCGGTCTTTTCGAATCAAGTGTGCTCTGAAAATGGGAACAAATTTTTTATTTATTGTTTTCACAGACAGAGGATTGTGCTCGTGGTCTCATAATTCGCAAATTAAATCATCAACACTATTTTGCATATTTATTGTAACCTATTAATATATGCTATTAAAATGTAATTAAGAATTTTAAGAGTATTCCGCATTAAATCGAGTTATGCTCTATTTGATTACCACCAGTCCGTTGTCGTCAGTCAGTCAGTCAGTCATCATAATGAAGTCATTGTTAATGGTATTAATTTTTGTGGCATTTTATATTTATGTGCACGGAGTTAAAATGCGTTTCACGAATCTAAAATGTGAAGATTTACGTCCCGATTTTTCGGTTTTCGAAGAATGCCGTCTTACAGTGGTTAAACGCGATATTATTTCGCTGAATATCAATGTGAAACTATTAAAGGGGCCGGTGACAAATTCAACGGTTGGTGATCTGTGTGTTTTTCTTTAAAGAATTATTTGAAGTTTTCTTTTTTGTGTGTTGTTGCTGTTGCAGGTAAATTTATCGATTTTTAAAAAACTCAACGGTTATCGACCATATCTTTACAATACAACCTATGATTTTTGTCAATTCATGAAGAATCGTAATCGCCAGATATATGCCAAGCTTTTTTTGGATGCCATGCTCAAAGAGTCGAATGTCAATCATACTTGTCCCTATGATGTAAGCTATATATATATTTTTGGTTGTGTAAGTATGGGAATATGTATTCGATTTTATTGCCTCGAAGTTATTAAAGAAGTGTTGTAATCCGGAATTTTAATAATTCGGAATGCTGTAGAATTTGAAGGAGAATAATAGAGCAAATGTTGCAATAATGACACAATAATATAATGGTCTATCAGGAGTTGCATATCATATTAAATATCGAAAATTGTCCATATTCCTGACAAATAAAATTCTTTTTGCAACAATACAGGGTGAGATAAAAAAAACTGCAACAAAGCCAAACGCCACGATATTTACATTTTTTTTTAAATTTATTGAATCAAAGCAAACCAGTAAGGAAAGCTCAAAAGTCGGACGGGGCCGACTATATGATACCCTACACCACTATGCATATTTAGTAGAGCTCTCGTAAAAAGGTTTATAAAGGGCATTTCAGAGCTCTATGAGATATTTGGTACAAAATCAAAATCTATCTAATTCTATCGTGCATTTTACGAACTATAGCTATCTCTGAACCGGGTTTCTCCAAATTTGACGTATTAGCTTCTAGACTGAATTCGGTCTTATGTACGAAAATTCAAGTGATTTGGGCTGATATTGACCATTTGATGCCCAATTAACACGAAATCGGATGAAGATATATATGGGAGGCATATCCAAATCGGAACAGATTTTAATAAAAATAAAATCAACTAATTTTGGGCTTTATCTGATATCTGGTACCAAATATCATTCCTGTGGAGTGCATATTACGAATGTGAGGGACTTAAAGACCAAATCGGATGAAAGATATATATGGGAGCTATAGCTATATCTGAACCGATTTTTACTAAAATTGGTGTACTTGCTTCTACGCTGGTTTCAGCCGGATTTGCCAAAATTGATGCTATTATTAAAACTATTCCTGTGCTCCATCTAATACCTGGTAACAAATATCACGGTTGTGGAGTGAATATTACGAATGTAAGGGACTAAAACACTAAATCGGATAAAACATATATATGGTTGCTATATCTGTATTTGAACCGATTTTCACTAAATTTGATATACTTGCTTCTAGGCTGAATTTGGTCCGATGTACTAAAATTCAGTCCATTTGGACTTATATCGGCCATTTGATGCACAATTAACCCGAAATCGGATGAAGATATATATGGGAGCTATATCCAAATCTGAACCGATTTCGATAAAATTACAAACAGCTGTTTCTGGGCTGTATCTTATATCTGGTACCAAATATCATTCTTGTGGAGTGCATATTACGAATGTGAGAGGCTTAAACACCAAACCGAATAAATCATATATATGGGAGCTATAGCTGTTTCTGAACCGATTTTCTCCAAATTTGTTGTATTTGCTTTAAGGCTAATCTCGGTCACATGTGCCAAAATTCGGGCCATTTGGGCTGATATTGGCCATTTGGTGGTCAATTAACCCGAAATCGGATGAAGATATATATGGGAGCTATATCCAAATCTGAACCGATTTCGATAAAATTTAAAACAGCTATTTCTGTGCTCCATCTAATACCAGGTACCAAATATCACGGTTGTGGAGTGCATAGTAGGAATGTGAGGGACTTAGAGATCAAATCAGAAGAAAGATATATATGGGAGCTATAGCTATATCTGAACCGATTTTCTCCAAATTTGATATACTGGCTTCTAGGCCGAACTCGGTTGGGTGTGCCAAAATTCAGGTAATTTGGACTGATAGTGGACATATGGTGCTCATTTAACCCGAAATCGGATGAAGATATATATGGGAGCTATATCCAAATCTGAACCGATCTCGATAAAATTTGGCAAATGTATTTCTGAGCTGTATTTGATATATTTCCCTAAATATTGTTGTTACAGAGTGCATATTACGGCTGCGGAGGACATAACAAAATAACAAATCGGATGAATAATATATATGGGAGCTATAGCTATACTTCGATCAAACTTGGCATACATATTTTCAGGCCTAATTTGGGTGTATATGCAAAATTCCATACAATTCGGGCTGATACTACACGTTTGGTGCACAATAAAAGGCAAATCGGACGAAGATATATATGGGAGCTATATCTAAATTTGATCCGATTCTCACCAATTTCAATAGGGTTCGTCCTTGGGCCAAAAAAATATTGTTTGGAAAGTTTCATCTCAATCAGATAATAAATGCGACCTGCATTTTGTTCACAAGAATACATGGACAGACGGACGGACGGACGGACGGACGGACGGACAGACGGACTGACGGACTGACATGCATAAATCGACTCAGAAAGTGATTCTATGAAGGTTCTCAAAAGTAACTATGGGTCTATCTCGTTTCCTTCTCCATGTTACAAACAAATGCACAAAGGCATAATACCCTTACCACTATGTGGTGTAGGGTATAAAAATGTCGGAAATAGCATCAAATTTTAGAAAAAGTTTACATTTTTTCCAATTGGTCACCTTTGGCACGAATTATGGCCTGCAAACGGCCAATGAAACCATTACATGCTGCCCGAATGTCGCTCTACGGTACTTTGGCCCATTCCCGGCGAACCGCTTGCTTGAAGTGATCGACACTTTGGTATTTTTTAGTGCCAACCTTGCTTTCCAAAATACTCCAGACACAATAGTCCAACGGATTGGTATCCGGAGATTTTGGTGGTCACCTATGGCACGAATCATGGCCTTCAAATGGCCAATGAAACCGTCACATGCTGTCCGAATGTTGCTCTGCGGTATTTTGGTCCATTTCCGGCGATGCGCTTACTTGGTGATCTACACTTTGATATTTTTAATGTTAACCTTGCTTTTCAAAATACTCCAGACACAATAGTCCAACGGATTGATATCCGGAGATTTTGGAGGCCATTGTGCGCTGGAAACAAAGCGAGGAACCTCATTTTGTAATCATTCTTGGGTGGCGCGTTCTGAGTCCTGTTGGGATGTCCAAGGTCTGCTGCAAAAAAATGCTGCTCCAAAATGTCTGCGTGTCCAAAGCTTTAATACACCCTCCAGAATATTTTCGGCATTTATTCTGATGCCACATTCGATTAATACGAGCGGAGAGCGATCATCGGCTGTTATGGCGGCCCACACCATCACCATGACCGGCGCTTGGGTTCTGGTGCCTAACCGTAGGTGCACATTTTCAGCTGACCTCTTTGGCAATTAAACACGTTTGCATTTTGTTGGTTTACAATCTGCTGGACAACGAATGTTTTCTCATCGAAGAAAACCAAATTCGGCAGTTCACCACTTTCAGCCAAGCGAAGCAACTCTTTAGCTCTTTTGAGTCTATTTTCCTTTTTTGTTGCGGTGTAAGTTCTTGCAGTTTTTGGAATTTCAATGGCTTTACGCCGAGCTCATTTTTCAATATTTGCCGAATGGAATATTGCGATATGTTCATCTCACGAGCCATTTTTGGGCCACTGCGATGCGGGTTTCGGTCAAGTCGCTTCTTTATGTTGTTGTTTTCTTCCGTCCACTTTCTTGACGTTGGGCTACCGCTACCAGTATCCCTGTAACGAGACACAAACGATTTATTCACATTTAAATGCTGGAGTGATCTACCAATAGCCACTTGTGGTTTTCCAGCCAAATATGAAGACATCAGACTATCGCACTTGAATTTCATCGCGAATAACTTTTTTCTGGAAAATTCTCACCAAAACGCTCAATATAACCAGTAAGGAAAGCTCAAAAGTTGGGCGGGGCCGACTATATGATACCCTACACCACTATGCATATTTAGTAGAACTCTCGTAAAAGAAAGGTTTATATTGCTCTATGACATATCTGGTACAAAATATCATTATGGTAGAGTGCATATTCCGAAAGTTGGAGATTTAAAAACCAAATCGGATAAAACATATATATGGGAGTAAATTTGAAATTCTTCCTTCTATGTTAAACTCGATTGAATTTCGGAAATTCACTCCATTTTAGCTATTTGGTGCACAATAAACCTGAAATCGAATAATTATATATATGAAGGCTATATCGGCTAAATCTGAACCGATCTTCATAAAATTGAAAACAGCTATTTCTTGGCTGCATCTGATATCTGGTACTAAATATTATTCTTATATTGTGCACCTAATTTGAAGTACTTCCTTCTATACTAAATTCGGTCTGAAGTGCCAAAATTCACACCATTTGGACTGATATTAGCCATTTAGTGCAGAAGAAACCTAAAATAGGATGAAGATATATATGGGAGCTATATCCAAATCGGAACCGATCTTGATAAAATTTGAATCATGAATTGCTAGGCTGTATCTTATACAGGGTTGTCCATATTCGACGGACCCATCTGGCAACGCCATAACTTTTGACAGAGATGTCACATCGCTTAATGACATACCGCGTTTGAAGCGTCAGTCCAGGCAGATTTTTACCATGAACCAATACACGCCACGCGAGCGCTCTGAAATAGTTGAAATTTACATTCAAGTCAATTTTGAAAACTCAACGAGCTTTTAAAACATTAAAAAATGTGAGAAGTGCGCCTTCTAAGAACACCATTAAGCGTTTATACGAAAAATTTTCGACTGGTAAGGCTCTTTCTAATCCGAAGAGGCCATATAAAAGTCGACCAAGGCGATCGGCCGAGAATATTGCTGCCGTACGAGCCAGTGTTGAGAGGTCCCCAAGAACATCCCAAAAACGCCGTTCGCAGCAGTTGGGCATGGCTCGGTCCGCTTTACAACGGATTATTCGCATTGATTTTTCAATTGACGCAAAGAATGTTGCCTGCGGACAACCCTCGTCGATTGGATGGAGCATATATGTGGCAGCTATAGCTATATCTGAACCGAACCAAATTTGAAGCACATGCTTGTAGTTTGAATTCGGTTGGCTGTAGCAAAATTCACATCATTTGGAGTGATATTAGCCATTTGGTGCACAAGAAACCTAAAATCTGAATTTGGACCGATTTTCGCCGATTTCGATGGGGTTCGTCCTTGAGCCAAACAAATGTTATTTAGAAAATTTCATCTCAATCCAATAATAAATGAGACCTGCATTTTGTTTACAAAAATACATGGACAGACGGACGGACAGACAGACGGTCGGACGGATGGACACGCATAGATCGACTCAAAATGTGATTCTATGCTGGTCACCAAAAGGAACTATAGGTCTATCTCGTTTCCTTCTCCATGTTACAAACAAATGCGTAGGGTGTAGGGTATAATGAGCTGTCACTGGAATAACTTTAACAGCTGTCGGACGAGTGGCTTAGAAATTACAGCGGTCGGAAGTTAGTTGCAGTTTTTTCATCTCACCCTATATGTCATTCGGGACATGTTTTCTAAATATCCTTGTTTTTTTAGAAACAGTATATAATCTTCGAGAACTAAGTCTCCATAAAACGAATTTATATGTTGAATAATGGGAGGTATCATGAATTCTGCGGGATTGAATTTACATGTCTTTTTAAATGTTGTCATTAGAAATTTTATCAATTTTTATTTCTCTTCTTTCAGCACAACATAATTGTAAAAGATCTAATTTTGGATGAAAGTAAATTTAAATATTTTCCAATTCCACGCGGTGATTATATGATTCAGCTGAAAATAGCAGCCTATAATGATTGGAAGGCTGATGTTAAAATTTATTTTAGTATTTTGGGGGATTTGTAAACTGTAATTTTAAAATTTTATCAGCATCCAATACTGTGTTCTTCATAAAATATCAGCTAATTAATAAACTGCCAGTATTTGTAATTGTTAATTAATTTTATAAAGATGGAAAATATATATGTACGAAGTGGTTATTTGTGTTTTTGGGGATTTAAAAATGAAGTAATATTGAAAATTCTAGTGGTACATGCACCTTTCACTTTATAGCTGGAACTGGCCAGAAAATTCTGTATTTTCAACAAATAAATACTGTTTAGAGTATCCTGCAGAGACATCATTAAGCTCTTCTCAAAACAGTTCCAGACAAATCAAATAATATTTTTTACGCTGTGAGCGTTTTCAAAATCGAATTCATAATATAAACACCTCATAGTTTTTTCTAATTCACAAATTAAATCATCAACATTTTAGCAAATTTTCAGCAACTTATAAATAACCGTTATTAAAACACCATTAATAGTACTCCCAGTTAATCTGACCCGTGCCCTATGCGATTACCAGCAGTCCGATGCCGCGACAGTCAGTCATCACAATGAAGTCATTGCTATTAGCAATAGTTTTTGCGACATTCCTTCGGAATGCGTTCGGAATTAAAATGCGTTTCACAAATCTTAAATGTGAAGAGTTACGTCCCGATTTTGCGGTCTTCGAGGAGTGCCGTCTAACTGTGGTTAAACGTGATATTATTTCGTTGAACATCGATGTAAAACTACTAAAGGTGCCGGTGACAAGTACAACGGTGGGTGTTGTGAGTTTATTTCTAAGGATTTGTTTTTTTTTTAACGTTTTCCATCTTTGTTTATTGTTGTTGCAGGTGAATTTAGCGTTTTTTAAAAAATTCAACGGTTATCGCCCTTATTTTTGCAACATAACCTATGACTTTTGTAAATTCATGGAGAACCGTAACCGTCAGTCGTATGCCAAGATATTTCTGGATGCTATACTCAAAGACTCTAATGTGAACCACACGTGTCCTTTTGATGTAAGTTAGAACTTTTTTTTAATTCTGAATGAATTCAGATACTTTTTACCCAAAGTTGGAGGTTATTAAAAGTTCGGCCCGGCCGAAATTATTCTTTTTTTTTTTGTAATTTTCGTATTTTAAATAATATTTATTATTTTTATGTTTTCTTCCAGCACAACATAATTGTCAAAGATTTAATTTTGGATGAAAGTAAATTTAAATACTTCCCAATCCCACGCGGTGATTATATGCTGCGGATCAAAGTAGCAGCCTACAATGATTGGAAAGCCGATGTTAAAGTTTATTTTAGTATATTGGTAGATTTGTGAAATCCACTTACAATTTACCTGCATTCAATATTGAGTAAATAAACTGCCCTCTTCGATTGTGAATATGGAGAAAAAAGTGGATAATAAGTTTTTATATCCTACACCACATAGTGTAAGGGTATTACGTCTTTGTGCATTTGCTTATAACATGGAGAATGAAGCGAGATAGACTCATAGTTACTTTTGAGAATTTTCATAAAATCACTCTCTGAGTCGATTTATGCATGACAGTCCGTCCGTCCGACTGTCTATATATTCTTACTAGCTGAACCCGGTGCGCTTCGCTACCCCTTTTGATTTTATATGCATTCAAAATTTTATTTATGAATATATGTTGGTTGAAAAAAAAAAAATTAAAAATTAAAAAAAATATATATTGCACTACTTTAATGCGTAAATAACCAAAACCGTTAGAAAAGCAGTAACATGACATACATACACGAAGGGTTTGTCCTCCGGATTTATTTATTTCATAGCAAATACCAAGCGTGCAGTAAAATGCAATCTTTTGAAGTTGAGTGGCATTTCTATTGCAATTAGTGAATTCGAGATAGCAACATACTTCGCCGTAATAAGCGTATTTCAAATCAATTGTTGTTTTGTTTTTTAGTGTTAGCCTAAGGCGTTGTGGGTCAATGGTTCTTATTAAAATCATATCCCAATCTGATCCGGTTTAAATATAATTTTAAAAAAATTACTTTTACACCAAATTCCGCCACACCTTTCATATTTCATTGAAATTGGTGCGTCAAACATGTGAAATCGGGCGATAACATATATATATGGGAGCTATATCCAAATCTTAACGAATTTCCAATTAATTTGACACATTTATTATTGTAACCAAATTCCGCCACACATTTTGAATTTCATTTGTATCGGTCATATATATCATGTTTGGTGCATAACATGTATGAAATCGGCCGAAATATATATGTTAGCTATACCCAAACCTCAACTTATTTCAATATAATTTGGCAATTTTTTTTTTGGTGCCAGATTTTGTCTCTCTCGCTTTGGGTGCATCAAATATGTGAAATCGGCTGAGTATATATATGGGAGCTATAATCAAATCTGAGCCTATTTGCATATAATTTGTCAAATTTATTTTTGTACCAAATTTAGCCACTCATGCCGAATTTCATTGGAATCGGAAATACGTATCGTGTTTTGTGCATCAAATAAGTGAAATCGGCGGAAAATATATATGGGAGCTATATCCAAATCTGAACCGATTTTAATATAATTTCACTAATTTATTTTCTAATCAAAATCTCGTTACATATTCTAAATTTCTTTGGAATCGAACATACATATAGTGTATGGTGCATAAAATACATGAAATCGGTCGAAAATATATATGGGAGCTATATCCAAATCTGAACCGATTTCAATTTAATTTGACAAATTCATTGTGGCTCCCAATTCCGTTACTTATTTTAAATTTCATTACAATTGGAAATACATATCGTGTTTGGTCGACCAAATATATGAAATCGGCCGAAAATGTATATATATATAATTTGGGAAATCGATTTTTTTAGATAAAATCTATCACACGTTTCAAATTTCATTGAAATTGAGGAAACATAGCGTGATTGGTGCATCAAATGCTTTAATCGGCCGAAAATATGTATGGGAGCTATATCCAAATCTGAACCGATTTCAATATAATTTGACAAATTTATTTTCGGATTAAATCCCGTCACACATTCCAAATTTCATTGGAATCGAACATTCATATTGTGTTTGAGGCATCAAATGAACGAAATCGGTCGAAAATATATATGGGAGCTATATCTAAATCTGAACCGATTACAATATAATTTGGCAAACTTATTTTTGTTCCAAATTCCGTTACGTATTCCAAATTTGGAGACTGTTTCTTCAACCAATCAATAGATATGTGCATATAAAATCTAAATTTTTAGGAGGTACCTCCGATTCTGCTGCTATATCTCCAGTTCCAAGTGGAAAATCAAAAATGTATATAGCCTATGTTATTTTCAGGCGATGTTGCAGTATATATGGAAATTTTCAGGAAAATCTATTCAGCGGTTTTCGAGCCCATAAATTACAAACAGACAAACAAACAAACAAACAAACAAACATACAAACATTTTCCTCTTTTATAGATATAGATGAATAAAATCGGTTCAGATATAGCTATACAGGGTAAGATGAAAAAAAACTGCAACCAACTTCAGATTTCTGTCATTTCTAAGCCACTTGTCCGACAGCTGTTAAAATTATTCCTGTGACAGCTCATTAACTTGTTTACAAGCATACAAAAGCATTTTGGTGAGAATTTAATAGAAAAAAAGTTATTCGTGATGGAATTCAAGCTACGATAGTGTGATTTCTTTAAATTTGGCTGGAAAAACACAAGTGGCTATCGTTAGAGCACTCCCGCATTTAAATGTAAATAAATCGTTTGTGTCTCGTACCATCGCTCGTTACCGTGATACTGGTAGCGTAGCCCGATGTCAAGAAAGTAGACGGAAGAAAACAGCAACATCAGCAGAGCTGGTTCGAAAAGTAAAGTAGCGACTTGATCGAAACCCGCGTCGCAGTGGCCGAAAAATGGCTCGTGAATTTAGCAATATTTCATTCGGCAAATATTGAAAAATGAGCTCGGGGTAAAGCCATTGAAATACCAAAACGTTCAAGAACTTACACCGCAACAGAAAGAAAATAGACTCAAAAAAGCTAAAGAGTTGCTTCGCTTGGCCGAAAGTGGTGAACTGAATTTGGTTTTCTCTGATGAGAAAACATTCGTTGTCCAGCAGTTTTTAGGCAAACAAAATGATCGTGTTTAGTTGCCAAAGAGATTAGCTGAAAATGTGCACCTTCGGTTGGCCAGCAGAACTCAAGCACCGGCAATGGTGATGGTGTGGGCCGCCATAACAGCCGATGGTCGCTCTTCGCACGTATTAATCGAACGTGACATCAGAATTCATGGGGAATATTACCGCGAAAATATTCTGGAGGGTGTATAAGAACCTTGAGCACGCAAACATTTTGGCCGCAGTCCTTGGACATTCCAAGAGGACTCAGCACCATCGCACTCAGCACGCGCCACCCAAGAATGATTACAAAATGAGGTTCCTCGCTTTATTTCCAGTGCACAATGGCTTCCAAATCTCTGGATACCAATCCGTTAGACTATTTTGTCTAGAGTATTTTGGAAAGCAAGTGTCGATCACCTCAAGCAAGCGCTTCGCCGGGAATGGACCAAAATACCGCAGAGCAACATTCGGGCAGCATGTGACGGTTACATTGGTCGTTTGAAGGCTATAATCCGTGCCAAAGGTGACCAATTCGAACAAATCTAAACTAATTCTAAAATTTGATGCTATTTACGGCATATGCTTTCATTCAATAAAATTTAAAAAAATGTAAAAATTATGGCGTACGGACGGCGGACGATATATTAAGTTTGTCATTCCGTTTGTAACACCTCGGAATATATATATTCTTGATCAGCATAAAATTCTATGTCGATTTATCAATGTCCTTCTGTCTGTCCGTCTGTGGAAATCACTCTAGCTTCCGAACGAAATGAAGTAAGTTGATGAAAATTTACTCAATTATGTATTGTGCCTGCAGGACTATCGGCATTGAAAATGGGCTATGTAGGTCCACGTCTTCGTATAGCCCCATATAGCTGTACCCCCCGATATTCGGTATTTTCATGATTTTAGCGACATTATTTACCGGAATTGTTTCAAATTTGGTATTTAAAGCTCGTTACGGATACCACAGCATATGACAGGAGATTGTCTGTGCAGGTTCACGTCTTCGTATAGGCCCCATATAACGGTACCCCCGATATTCCGTATTTTGATGATTTTAGCGACAATATTCACCGGAATTGTTTCAAATTTGGTATTTGAAATTCGCAATGGATACCACAGCCTCAGAAAATGAGCCATGTGGGTCCACGTCTTCGTATAGCTTCCATATAACGGTACCCCTGACATTCGGTATTTGGATGATTTTAGCGACATTATTTTCCTGAATTATTTCAAATGTTGTATTTGAAGTTCGTTATGGAAGTACAACCTATGCCAGAAAATTGTCTGTGCATTGTGGTACCTCCCTATATTCGGTACTTTATTTATTTTAGTTACATTATAAACAGATTTTTTTTTAAGTTTAGCATTGAATATTATAATAGCTTATGACAAAAGTTGCATATGCAGGTCCACGTCGTCTTATAGACCCTAATATACGGCTACATTCGGTATTTTTAAGATTTTAACACAATTTTTAATAGATTTTTTTTTTTTTTTTGAAAATTGTCAAATTTGTACCGAATGGTGGAGGATATTCAAAGTTCAGCCCATTTTCACACTGACCACTTTGGCAAGTAAACACGATCGTTTTGTTTGTTTACAAGCTAAGTAACTCTTTACAAGCGAAGTAACTCTTTAGGTTTTTTGAGACTATTTTCTTTCAGTTGCTGTGTAGGTTCTTGGACTTTTTATAATTTCAAAGCCATTGAAGCTCATTTTTCAATATTTGCCGAATGGAATATTGCGATATGTTCAGCTAACAAATCATTTTTCGGCCACCAGCGTCGCGGTTTCGATCAAGTGGCTTCTTTACTTTTCGAACTATTTCTGCTTATGTTGCTGTTTTCTTCCGTCCACGTCCTTGACTTCGGGGTACGCTACGAGTATCACGGAAACGAGCAATGGTACGAGACAAACGATTTATTCACATTTAAATGCTGGAGTGCTTTAACGATAGCCACTTGTGGTTTTCCAGCCAAATATAAAGAAATCACTCTATCACGCTTGAATTCCACCGCGAATAACTTTTATTCCTGAAAATTCTCACCAGAATGATATTGTACTCTTGTAAACAATATAATGAGCTGTCACTGGAATAATTTTAATAGATGTCGGACGAGTGGCTTAGAAATGACAGCAGTCTGAAATTGGTTGCAGTTTTTTTCATCTGACCCTGTAGAGGAGTTATCTATCTATATACAATACAGGTGACCGAAAATAAGCAGTGCAAATACATTGAATATTTTTGCGAGAAGAAAATCTCTTACAATTATTATTTGTGATATCTAGCGGATTTCAAATTGCAATCTATTTACATCTTAATATATAAATTAACAAATCAAATAATTAATTTTGAGGGTGTTCACTTTTTCGAAAAATGCATTGCATGTAGTCGTAATCCAAATTTTTTATTATTTGCAAATTTAGCATTAAAATTTTCGAAAATTTCTGGTAACTTATTAAAAATGCAATTTAAATGTCATTAAGGGTTTTTGGAGAACTCCAAATAAAATGGACTTATACCCCGTGAGGCATTGTCAGTCAGTCAGTCAGTCGTCGTAATGAAGTCATTGATATTAGCAATACTTTTTGCAATTCTCTGCATTAATGTGTTCGCAATTAAAATGCGTTTTACGAATCTAAAATGTGAAGATTTACGCCTGGATTTTTCGGTCTTCGAAGAATGTCGTCTTGCGGTGGTAAAACGTGATGTTATTTCGCTGAACATCAATGTAAAACTAATGCAAGTGCCGGTGACAAATATTACGGTAGATTAAAGGTGTATATATCTGTAAGGATTTTTTTCACGTTTTCTCTTTTATTTGTTGCAGGTGAATTTAGCCTTTTTTAAAAAACTTAGCGGTTATCGGCCATATATTTACAACATAACTGTAGATTTTTGTAACTTTTTGAAGAATAGTAATCGACAGTCGTATGCCAAGCTATTTCTGGATGCCATATTGAAGGATTCTAATGTCAATCATACTTGTCCTTTTAATGTAAGTTATGCCAATTTTATTGGGTAAGTATACTGAGTTCACATATGATTTCATAGCTTCGAAGTGGTTGATGAAACCGATGCCTAAATTTTTTAACAGATTTCTGGAGATAATCTATTTTGAAAACAAGTTAATGACCTGACACAAAACTTTTTACAGTTATTTTAATTTTCTTGAAGAATTTACTATTTTGTAATTTTGTTAATTTAAATTATATTTTTATTTTTTGATTTCAGCACAACATAATTGTCAAAGATTTAATTTTGGATGAAAGTAAATTTAAATATTTTCCAATTCCACGCGGTGATTATATGTTTCGCATCAAAGTTGCAGCCTATAATGACTGGAAAGCCGACGTTAAAGTTTATTTTAGTATATTGGCAGATTTATGAAACTAATTTAAAATTTGCGGATTGTTAATATTAGTATCGTAAATATACAGATGCACATTAACATATTTTTTGTTAATTTTGCATAAATATGAATGTGTAAAATGAGAAAGAAGAGAAGCTTATTTGTAGTTTTAAATATCGCCATCGTATCAATTAACTATAACTACTTATTTCTTGCCAGACGTTTCTGTTCAATTGTTTAGCAAGTAAAAAAGAAGCTAAGTTCGGCCGGGCCGAACTTTTTATACCCTCCACGATTTCGAAGAAAATTGAAAAATTTCAAATAAAAAACTTCCGAAAACTAACACTTAAATGAAAACGGTTATATGGGGACTATACGAAGACGTGGACCTGTATACGAAATTTTTTGTCATAGGCTGTAGTGCACATTACGAACTTTGAATACGAATTTTGTTACAATTCCGGTGAATAATGTCGCAAAAATCATGAAAATACGGAGTATCGGGAGGCATCGAAGACGTGGACCTTCACAGACAATTCTCGGTCTTAAGTTGTAGTACCCATTAGGAACTTCCAGTACGAAATTTGAAACGATTCCGGTTAATAATGTTGTTGAAATCATCAAAATACCAAATATCGGAAGGTATTGTTATATGGGGCCAATACGAAGACTTGGACCTGCATACAAAAATTTTTGGCATAGGCTGTAGTATCCATTAGGATCTTCCAGTACGATTCCGATGAATAATGTTCCTGAAATTATCAAAATACCGAACATCGGGAGGTACCGTTATATGGGGGCTATACTAGTACTTGGACCTGCATTCAAAAATTGTTGTCATAGGCTGTGGTACCCATTGCGAACTTCAAATAGGAAATTTTATATAATTCCGGCAAATAATGTCGCCAAAATCATGAAAATACCGAATATCGGGAAGTACCTTTATATGGGGGGCTACACGAAAACGTGGACCGACATGGCCCATTTACGAACTTCACCTGTTACTGGTAAACTATGCATGTATGTAAAATTTTAACCTTCTATCTCAATTCGTTCGAAATATTATTAATATTTCGAGGAGTTACAAACGGAATGATAAAGTTAATATAACCTCCATAGAATGGTGGAGGGTATAAAAATGACTTGTTAATGTGAGAAAGGAAAAGGTCTTGGCTGAACGTATCGATGTCTGTGTGAGTGGGTTATAGCCATTTTATACCCCATACCACACCGGGGTAAGGGTATCATGTTTTTATGCATTTGTTTGTAACATGGAGAAGGAAGCGAGGTAGACCCATAGTTACTTTTGAGGATCTTCATAGAATAACATTTTGAGTCGATTTATGTATGTCAGTCCGTCCGTCCGTCTGTCCATGCATTTTTGTGAACAAAATGCAGGTAGCATTTATTATCCGATTGAGATGAAATTTTGCTAACAATATTTGTTTGGCCCAAGGACGAACCCTATTGAAATTGTTGAGAATCGGTTTTCAACCGATTTCAAAATGGCCAATATCAGTCCAAATGACCTGCATTTTGGCCCTTCCGACCGAATTCAGTCTAGAAATAAGTATATCGAATATGGAGAAAATCCGTTCAGATATAGATATAGCTCCCGTATATATGTTTAAGCCGATTTGGGGTTTTACGTCCCTCACATTCGTAATATGCACTCCACATAAATTACATTTGGTACCGATATCAGGTTTATTGTGGACTAAATGTCAGGACTAATATCAGCCCAAATACACTGAGTCTTGGCAATTACGACTGAATTCATCCTAGAAACTAGTAATTCAAATTTGGTAAAAATCGGTTCAGAGCTATAGCTTCCATATATGTTTTATCCGATTTGGCGTTAAAGTCCCTCACATTTGTAATATACACCCTACAAGAATATTTGGTACCGGGCATCAAGTACTGCTCTAAAATACGTACGACAATTTATATCGAGATCGGTTCAGATTAGGATATAGCTCAAACATATATCTTTATTGTGCACTAAATGGCTAATACCAGTCCAAATACACTGAGTTTTGGCAATCATGACTGAATTCATCCTAGATACTACTACTTCAAATTTTTGGTGAAAATCGGTTCAGACGTAACTATAGCTCCCATATATATGTATTATCCGATTTGGTGTTAAAGTCCCTCACATGCGTAATATGCACTCCACAACCATGATATTTGATTCCGGACAAAAATACCTCTACCAAAGTCATATAATATAAAACCATCGAAGTCATATAATATAAAACTGCACCAAAATCAACCGCCATAATTTTTAAATTTTTTTATACCCTCCACCATAGTATGGAGGGTATATTAAGTTTGTCATTCCGTTTGTAACACCTCGAAATATACATTTTAGACCCCACAAAGTATATATATTGCTGATTAGCATAAAATTCTATGTCGATTTAGCGATGTCCGTCCGCCTGTGCAAATCACTCTAGCTTCCGAACGAAATGAAGTAAGTGGATAAAAATGTAATCAGATGTGTTTTATGTCTGCAGGACTGGGCCATGTAGGTCAACGTCTTCGTATAGCCCCCCATATAACGGTTCCACCCGATGTTTGGTACTTTGATGATTTTAGCGACATTATTCAGCGGAATTGTTTCAAATGTAGTATTTAGAGTTCGTAATGAGAACTAGAATCTCTGACAAAAGTAAAAAAAAAACATTAAGTTCGGCCGGGCCAAACTTTTAATACCATCCACCTTAGAGTAAAGGAAACATTAGTCAAAATACCGAATATTGGGAAATACCGCTATATGGGGCTATACAAAAACGTGGACCTATACATACAATGTTTCATCAAATAAGCTAGAACCTATTAGGACCCACAAATACCAATTTTTAAACATATCCCGGAAGAAATGTGGCGAAATTCGTCAAAATACCGAAAATCGGGAGGTACCGTTATATGGGAGTTATATCAAAGCGTTGATCTATACATACAATGTTTCGCCACCGGAGCTAGAACGCAGTTAGAAGCCGTTATGACCAACAAATACTAATTTTTAGACAAATCCGTGAAAAAATGTGGCAAAAATAATCAAAATACTGAAAATCCGGAGGTACCGCTATATGGGGGCTATATCAAATCGTGGACCTATACATACATTGTTTCTCCACCGGAGTTAGAACTCATTATACAAATAAATCAATAAACAAATCCCTTGAAAAATGTGGCAGAAATCATGAAAATACCGAATATCGGAAGGTACAGTTATATGGGGACTATACCAAAATGTGGACTATATATCTCGTGTTCAATACCAACCATCCTAGAAACAATACAAATTGTTCTGCTAAATTTTGACGCTCTACGTCAAATAATTTGGTCTGTATCGCGATTTCAACAGACAGACGGATAGACAGACAGACATGGTTAAATCAACTTAGAATTTTATTCTGATCAAGAATATTTATACTTTGTGGGGTCTAAAATGTATATTTCGAGGTGTTACTAACGGAATGACAAACTTAATATACCCTCCTTTTACGGTACCTCCCATTATTCGGTATTTTGATAATTAACGCAACATTATTCACCGGATTGTTTCGAATCTGGTATTTAGAGTTCGTTATGGAAATTACATTCTATGCCAGACAATTGGCTATGCAGGTTCAGGTTTTCGAATAGGCCCCACATATCAGTTCCGGTATTTTGACGATTTTAGGTACAATATTCACCGAAATTGTTTGAAATTACGAATTTGAATTTCTTAATATGTGATTCAGCCTATGACAGAAAATTTTCTATGCAGGACCAGGTCTTCGTATAGCCCACATATAACGGTACCTTCCTATATTTAGTATTATGATGATCTTAGCTACATTATTCATCGGAATTGCGTCCAATTTCATACTTGAAGTTCTGAACAATAGCCTATAATCAAAAATCATACAGTACTACGTGTTCGTATAGCTGTTTTCATTTGAGCGGTAATGGTGGAAGGTGGTTCGGCCCGGCAGAACTTAGCTGCGTTTTTACTTATTATGTTGCACATTATCGTATGCAAAAGTACACAAGATCACTGAATTCTACACATGTTACATTTTATGACGGTTGAGAAACTGTAATTTTCGTTGTTAGATTTTCAAAGCGCCTGAACCACACTCATAAGTATGTAAAAAGTATTTTTACAATCTGGATTTTAAATTTTTTAAGTGTAACCTCAGCAGTTTCCATTTCGGATTTTTATATACAGGATATTTATGAATATACATACATTTTGACTATGAGAAATTGTTTTTGAAAATTATTAAATATTTGATTTCACGAGGCATCCTTCTTTATTTATTAATCCTTAAGGTTTATTGATTTGAATTTTTAACAAAGAAAAATTCTTATTTTTGGGAACCATACTTGTATTGAATATCTTCTGAGAGGAGATAATCCTATCGCAAGTATTCAATTAAACCTTCAAAATACCGAAAAGAAGGAGGTACTGTTACATGGACTATACCCAAAGGTGCAACTACATTGAATATTTTGGCGAGAAGAGCAGCAACTAAAAACAATTGTTTTTCATATCCAGCAGGCTTCATGCTTCAGATCATAGAGTTCTTCCTAGACCAGAAACAAAAAAATACTTATTTTAAAATGGTTATTTTTTAATGCATATCATGCAATGCTAATTCATAGTTTCCATAATTCGCAAATGAAATCATCCAAATAGTTTTGGAAATTTTCGCTAACATAAAATTGACAGTCATTAAAATACCATTAGGAATTTTAGGAGTACTGTAAAATTAAGTCATGTTGACATATACTAGATTGTATTGCCGCCCGACCAGTTTTGTCAGACAGTCATCATAATGAAGCCATTTTTGGTAGTAATATTTTTGGTAACATTCCATGTTACTGCATTTGGGGTTAAGATGCGTTTCACGAATCTGAAATGTGAAAATTTACGTCCTGATTTTTCGGTCTTCAAGGAATGCCGTCTTACAGTGGTGAAGCGTGATATTATTTCGTTGAACTTCAATGTAAAATTATTAAAGCCGCCGGTAACAAATGTAACGGTAGGATATGATATGTGTTAATTTCTATGATTTTAAATATTTTTTTAAGTGTTCTCTTTTTTTATTTCTAATGGCTGTTGCAGGTAATTTTATCGTTTTTCAAAAAATACAGTGGTTATCGACCATATATATACAATTTAACCGTTGATTTTTGTAAATTCATGAAGAATACTAGTCGCTATCCGTACGCTAAACTATTTCTGGATGCCATACTCAAGGATTCGAATGTAAATCACACTTGTCCTTTTGATGTAAGTTGTGACATGACATGATATCTTAGCTTTGAATAGATTACAGAAACCGATGCTGCTGAGATCCATGTAGTGCAGAATTTAATCAGAAGTAATGCGCCAACGTAGTGACATTGTGGATGGGACTCTATATTTCCAGAGATGCTCTGTTAATAAATAAAACGAAATAATAATCTGACACTGTTGTTTAAAAAAATTTTTTGAAATTTACCTAAACATTTTGAAAATTCAAATTTATTTTTTTAATTCTATGTTTTTTTTTTTTTGCAGCACAATATAATTGTGAAAGACTTAATATTGGATGAAAGTAAATTTAAATATTTCCCAATTCCAAGCGGTGATTATATGCTTCGGATAAAAATAGCAGCCTATAATGATTGGAAAGGCGATATTAAAGTTTATTATAGTATATTGGCAGATTTGTGAAAGTAACATAACAACTGTCCGCAGGCTTATATGGCGTTCCAGATAAAGTATTAGCTAGCTAATAAACTAAGTTTCTTCGATTGTATTTCTTTATTGTTGTATTTATTTACTTTTTCCTACAGAATCGTTTTTGCATTAAATTTCAAAGGAAACAAAGAACAAGTAAAAAATCAGATAAGTTCGGCAGGGCCGAACTTTTAATACCCTTCACCATTTCAAAGGAACTTGTAGAATTAAAAAAATCGAAAACTACCTCTTAAATGAAAACCGTCATATGGGGGCTATATATAAAATTGTCATATATATAAAATTGGGAATAATTCCGGTAAATAATGTCGCTAAAATCATGAAAATACCGATTGTAAACCGGGATCATTAAATAAAAGATTCAACGTCTTTTCCGTTTGAGCATTTGTAAGACACTGAATTTATTTATTAAAACATTTCTTAAGAACTAGTTGTGATAATATGACTTAACCTAAATTATCATTAAGTGTAAATGAGAGAGAGAGAGAGAGAGAGAGAGAGAGAGAGATAGATACCAATTGTACACATGCATATGCACCATGCCACCATAAACCTTAGGGGAATATGCACCCATGCTGCACTTGCTTATCAGTCTGAGTAAAGATTACATCCCATAATCTATCTCCACCATAACACATGCAGCAATTGAAAATTCTGTATTATTTATTTCTAACTCGAAGGTCGGCTCACCAGATTTTCTTATCTTATTTAATGTGGACTGTATTAAGAAGATCCCTGTTTAACAAATCCCTCTCATCGACACTAGGTAGCCCCGCAATTTTCTTTTATTATAAAAATATGTTCACTTATCCGTGAACACCGATTATAGAGAAGTACCGTTATATGGGGCTATACGAAGATCTGGACGTGCATACAAAATTGTTTGGCATAGGTGTAGTAACCATTAGATCTCCCAACACGAAATTTGAAACGATTCCGGTGAATATCTATAATACCGAATATCTTGAGGTTCCGTTCTATGGGGGCTATACGAATATTTTTGTCATAGGCTGTAGTACCCGTTACGAACTTCAAATACAAAATTTGAAATAATTCCGATTAATAATGTAGCTAAAATCATGAAAATATCGAATATCAGGAGGTACCGTTATATGGGGGCTATACAAAAACGTGGACCGACATGGCCCATTTACGAACATAACCTGCCTACTGGTAAACTATGCATCTATCTCAATTTGTTCGAAAGATAGCGTGATTACAACAGACAGACAGATGGATATATAGACGGACATCGCTAGATAGTCTTTGAATTTTACGTTGACAAACGGAAAAACACCATAGAACGGTGGAAGGTATAAAAAGGCAGCTAAATTCGGCCAATTGTAAGGAACTTGAAAAAATTCAATAAAAAACCCTCGAAAAATACCGCTTAAATAAAAGGAGTTTTATGGGGGCTATCGGAAAACCTGGGCCTGCATATGGTATTTTCGGTCACAGGCTCCATTACGAATTTAAAATACGAAATTTGAAACGTTTCTGGTGAATAAAGTTGCTAAAATCATCAGAACCACCGAATATAGTAAGGTACTGTTATGTGGGGCTATACGAAGACGTGGGCCTATATGTACAATTTTCTGTCATAGGATGTAGTACCTATTAGGAGGTTCAAATTACAAATTTGAAACATTTCCGGTTAAAAGTGTTACACAAGTCATCAACATACCTAATTTTTGGGTTAAAATTTTGACTAAAGTAACCAAAAAACCTTATTTATTACTTTTTGGAAAGACTTTATAAGATAAATTTTTGAGAACACCGAAACAGTGTCAACAACTTTTATAATTAAAGGTCGATGTCGGTGCTTGGCGAGATTTTGTATATTTTGCTATATGTTTAAAAATTATTGTTTCTGATGATGTCTTCCGTCAAAGGACGAAATATCGAAAATAATAAATAAATAAAAAAATTAAAAATTTTAATTTTATTAAACTTAGATTTGAAAAAAAAAAAAATAAATAAAATGCGACATAAGTTAATAACAATTGTTGAAATCGTGCGTTGCTTTAGTAGCTGATGAAGCAGTACCATTTAATGTCATTAAATCACATCCCATGCGGAACATAATAAATACAATCTGTGAATGCATTTAGAATGAGAGTTCCAATAATTTCCCTTTAATGTCGACATGTGCAAAAATACTTTGTCTGAAGAGGCGAAATATGTAATAGCTCAAACATCCAAGGAATGTGTGACCAAGGTAATATCGTTAAAAATGGACACATACTGTTATACCACAAGATAACAATGTGATACAAATCTTAAAGAAAACAAGTAAAAAAGCAGTAAGTTCGGCCGGACCGAACTTTGAATACCCTCCACCATTTGGAACGAATTAGGAAATTTTCAAAATAATAAAATCCATTTAAAATGCTGTTAAAATCCTAAAAATACCGAATATCGAAGGTGCCGATATACGGGGCTATACGATATTGTAGACCTAAATAGACAATTCTATTTTAGGGGGTAAAGTACACACAATGAACTCCTTGTGTGGAATTTCAGACAATTCCATTGAAAATTGATTTTGGTCGATCATAAAAATACCGAATATCGGTTGGTACCGTTATATGGGGTCTATACGATGTCGTGAACACATACAGACAATTCTCTTTCAGGGGATAAAGTACTTGCAAGGAACTCCTTGTGTGGATTTTCTGACCATTCCATTGAAAAATGTGGCTAAAATAATCGAAATACCAAATATCGGGGAGTACCGTTATATAAGGGCTATACAATATCGTGGACCTATACAGACAATTCTCTTCCTAGAGATAAAGTACCCACAAGGAACTCCTTGTGTAGCATTTCAGATAATTCCGTTGAAAAATGTGGCTAAAATCATCAAAATACTGAATATCGTGGGCTACCGTTATACGGGGGCAATACGTGGACCGATACAGCCCATCTTCGAATTTGACCTGCCTGCAGACAAAATATGGATCTGTGCAAAATTTTAGGTTTCTATCTTAATTCGTTTTGACTGTACAATTTTATATTACGGACAGGGCTAAATCGTCTTAGAATTTTACGCTAAACAAGAATATATGTACTTCGTTGCGTCTAAAATTATTATTTCGTAGAGGTGCAAACGGAATGACGAATTTAATATACCCTCCATACTATGTATGGTGGAGGGTATTACAATTGTTTTATATTCATAGAAAAATGAAGTTGCGGTTCGTTGGTCCGCACAATGAGAAGAAATATTGCTGGCATTATAGAACAAAAAAGTTGCAAAAATAGAGGACTGCAAAAAAATTTAACTTTCCAAACGAACACTGCAATGAAAAATACTTGCTTAAATTTATTAATTTGCTATTTTTTTATTTTCACAAAATATTTCGCGTTATTTGTTAGATTTTCTTGTTCTCTTTTGTGTGCATTTGTAAACATACATCTACCGACAACTTATAGCTTGTCGGAGGGTATCTAAGCGCAAAAATTGATCCACTGGATCTAGTAAACCCGGTGGGTTAATCTGCAATAGTATAAACAAGCTATTGTGTAGACAAAGTCCAAGAAATACAAAAGACAAAAGGAACTAGGTGAACTAATGAGCTAGATTTAATTCCGATCGTTCATTTTAAGAATAGTTTACTGGAACTACTTCGTTTCGTAACTACACAACTCTACATTCAAGTCCTGCACAAAATTAGGCTTCCGAATATTTGAATGTGTTTAAAAAAATATTGAAAAAATGAGAAAGGAAAGACAGAACCTGACGGTTTGAATGCTGTTCCAATTCTGTGTTCTGAAACTAATCTAACTTAACTTAGTTGCAGCCACATAATTGTTCTTATCTATGTTTATTACATGGCTGCTTGTCTTGTTTATTACATGGCTGCTTGTCTGCATTTTTTGTCGCTGACATTACTAAAAAGTCACCAACAGGCGATGAAAACCGATCTCGAATCTTTAACCAAAAAGTTAAACCGTTCGGGAAGAAATGAACCACGCACTCGTTACTTCTTAATATTGACTTTTTAGTGGCAGATGAAATTGACGGCTAAGTAACGTTCAGTCGTTACCAAAAAGGTAATTTAAGGAAGTAACAAACTGTTTACCTTTTTCGTTAAAGATTCGAGATTGAGGGCGTGGGTTTTCATCGTATTTACTGGCAAATGAAATTGACGACTAAGTAACGTTCAGTCGTTACAATAAGGGTAATTTAAGGAAGTGAAGTAAATATTCGAGATTGAGGGCGTGGGTTTTCATCGCCTGTTGGTGACTTTTTAGATCTTCCTGCGATTGGTAATAAGGAATTAAATAAAACATTTGTATGATTATAATTATATTTATTTCATGAACATATATGTCAATTTTATGTAGTAAACAGTATACAATTCTTAAAGTATATAGTGATTCATTTTTCTTAGTCATTAACTTAAAATCTAATTTTCTTAGTCAATTGAAATATTTAATTATTGATTTCAGAGTTTGTTGTCCTTAATTGTTTTTTATGCACTCTATCACGAGCATGCAATATGTGTTTCTGACAAACTTTATTAATGTCCAACAGTGATGTATTAGGAAATTTGATGTGGCATATATCTGCAAAATATATATATTTGTTATTTATTTATTTTTTCAAATTAATACTAAAGTATTTCGACCAACCTCTTATTGTACTATAAGTGTTAAAGCATTGAACACTTGGCTTTTTGGGTGTTCCACGCCAAGTTGATTCTATTGCCAACTGGCCAGTTATAACAGCTTTAATTGATAATTTGACAAATGGTGACATTTCTTTTCCGCCGACACAATTTATTAATGTTTTCTGTAATAAATATATGCTTATGTATGGGGTCGAATTTATAAAAATTATAAACATATTTCAAATTGATCTCGCAGTTCATTTTCAGTTAAAAGTTTTGCATCAAAATTTGTGAATTCGTTTAAATTGTAAAAGGGTAAGGATATCAGTAGGTTAAGTTGCCCTTCCACTAATTTTT